TGTCGTACTAGTTTACGTTTCGTTACGTTCGTAGTAGTTAGTTAGTTACTAGTAGTACGTACGTAACGTAAGTAAACGTAACGTACTACTATATAGTCTACTCCTCTCTCTCTCTCTCTCTCTCTCTCTCTCTCTCTCTCTCTCTCTCTCTCTCTCTCTCTCTCTCTCTCTCTTATCTCTCTCTCTCTCTCAGCTTGTTAGGTTCTATACAAGAATGGGATTCAAGCCTGTTCATGAAGTTACTGGTTCATCAATTGGTGATGTCCCTCACTTGTTGATATGGGGAGGGAGAGGCACAAGAATGGATGCAAATATTGAAGAGCTTTTGATCAAGTGGGGAACCAGGTTTAAAGCTCAAAGCTGATGTTTTTTTAACTCCAAACTTCATAAAAAGGGGCTCTCTTAGTAAGGTCATGTACATTTTGCACTATTCTTATGCAGTCAAATGGGCTTTGCATTAAAAAGCAGCACCAAATAACACGCCAGAAAATCAGATCTGATGTCGAAAATCTATGATGGTGTCGGTATATATCTCAACCCGTAATTGTGAAAACTTGAAGCTCCAAGAATTATCCGCGTATACCAAATATATAAACATTTTGATAATAGATGGTCCGGATAATGTGCTATAAAATTGACAATTTTTTAGAGTTTGAAATTCATTTTATTTTTTAAACTTAAAAGTTGGAATTAATAAATTTGGGGCTTTCCCTTCACTAAAATTACATTTTCAAGTAGGATTTTGAAGTGTCTATATAAAGCTAAAGCCTTGTAGATAATGGATCAATTTCTAACATTTTCTCCACCTTCTACTTTTTAAGAAATATTGAAGTACATACAATCAAAAAATTGCAGGATTCGATCGTCATTGTTTGGTTGTGGCATGCAATGTTAATGCTATTCCTATGGTTTAACATCCTTTAAAAGAGATTGTCTCCAAAGATAGATTGTCTCCAAAGATATCATTTATTTTTTGTATATAGAGAAGATAATCATCATCCCTTAAATTTTAAAATGGGTGGTGGTATTTTTTGTATTTAGAGAAGATAATCATCATTGTCCCTTAAATTTTAAAATGGGTGGTAGTAAGGGTGCCATCGAATAGAAGCAAAGTTTCAAAAAGACAAAAAAAAATATTGGATTTCGTGACTCACCCAAAGCCATCCAATCTGACATCTAATGAGTGAAAATGATTATGTCATTCATATACAAAAGATAAATGGTACTCTTTGCAGACAATCCGCTTTTAAAATTTGTCAGCTGATTACATCTTCACACAATTTAGATGCGGATAATCATTATTTTTTCCGGTTCCATCATAGATAGTGAAAATCATATAAACATACTTGGATTATTTCACATGGACATGCCTGACGACATGCATGCCTAGCATATTTTTTTTGGAAGGAAAAATTAGACAGTTTATATTCAATCTTGAGGCATTATTGTTTCAAGCACACAGAATGCAGTATAGAAATTCTTTAACCGATTATATACCATACGGGTTGAAGAGGTTGCAATACATAAATTCTTTAATCGATTAGAGCAGGTTGAAGGAATTATGCCCCAAAATTTCGAAAATAAGATCATGTTTAATTTCTGGAAGACTTGGTTTTGGAAACTGTATCTTCCGATACTATAGCACTTCATGCGTCTTTCAAAAATCAAACTGTCCTAAAAATCCTTCATATTGGGTTCTGTCAGAGGGAATTAATGAACAGTATACTCCCTAGGGGGTTATTAAAGCTTTAAACCTAACGAATTTGGAAACCTGCCCAAATTTTGTACCACAACGAATGAAATTGTCATATTTATCATGCTGAGAGTTAGGCAAACATTTATGTGAAAATTGATTGAAATACGAAAACCACGTGACATGGGCTAAAGCTAAATCCATTTCCCAGGTAAACTTCAAATAGATGCGACCCTTTAAAACTGATAATTAAGTAACCGTTTTCATGGTTGTCACAGAGAATAGTATGGGATTATGACATTGGATCACCCCAATATCAGTATATAAAACCTTTCAATAGAAGGAATTATTAGTCATATTTCACCCCCATTTCCAAATAAACACCAGTTCGTTGATCAATACCAATAAAGAATTAGGATTGAGGCGCACAAAATGAAACCGTGGTAAGAATAGGCCCCCACGGGAAATTTACAATACAAATATTCGCATTAAAAAACAAATGACGCCCAAGTTTGGGCTGATTGCCCCCAATTACATCCAGATTGTCTCATAAAATTCTCTAGAAATTCTGGGGGGATGGGAAATCTTTATTGCCTGTTTCCCTTAGAGCAAAACCCAGAGAGAGAGAGAGAGAGCAAAACCCAGAGTGAGCGAGAGACAAAAAAGACGAAAGATGAATAGGAGTCACAAATGTAAACATCAAATTTCTGCTACCTCTAAGCAAAATGAATCAGGGCTTGAGAGCAAGCGCCAACCCCAACCTGGGAGTCTTGTCCATGGACTTGGTATCGAACTCCCCAGAAAGAGTGAGTACTGATTTGGGCTTGAGCTCATGTTGCAGAAGGGCCCCAAGCTTTCCATGGTTGTTGAGGCGAGCCTTCACAGTGGTTAATGGGTCGACCTTATAAGCACCTCCTACAGTGATTGTGTTCTCATTAGTGGAGAACTTCCTTGACAACTCGGCCACAATTGAACTTGCATTGAACTTATCAAAAGTGTGCATGTATGACACCTTGAAATTGTCACCCTTGTCAGCCCTGAAAACCATTCCACAAAATAAATACCGGCAGTTGGGAAACCGAAAGCAAAAGATTCAACACATGCAACATGAAAACAGAAGAAGAAGAGGTGCGATATTGGATTTAAGAGTGACAACCCAGAAACCAAAGCATAAGAGAACAATAACCAAAGAAAACAAAAAAGACCATAAATTTTGAATTAAAGCAGAGTAGAAAGAGAACAGTGATAAAGTAATACTATGCATATGGCTATCATGCCCTAGCGATGGTGTATTTCTATCCATCAAACCATAAAAAATTAGACATGCAATTTCTTTTTACCTACTCTGAAACCTTTGGAATCAAAAGAAATCCTACCCATCAGTGCAAATTAGTTATGAGAAAGTACACATTTGCAAAGACTGTGACCAAAGGTCTATAAAAAGCAAGGGCTAATGTTCTAGAAATATCAACGCCAATGAAGCATTAAATATGCCTCTTGTCTAACATCAGTTCAATGTCAGCCCCTTGCTTTATGCAATATTTCTCCAATGACAAGTGAACTGCACTGAGAGTCAAGGAATATGAAATCCAAAGATTTCAAAGTCTTTGGATGAGGAATGAAGCAGCCCAACCAAGCTGAAAAGGTATCAACCAACAGAATATGCCTCAAGAATATTTAGCTTTTAAATTAAAAAGATACCAATTTCCTCTCTAGTTGTATTTCATAACAGGGGAAGCTAAAACCATGTTCATATACCACACTCCCTCCCACTACATCTATTCATTTATCTATCCATCTTCCGTCTATCGTCTACGCATGCACACATGAATTAGTAGCACATACGAATATAATGTGAATGAGAGAAGAATGTCCTTACAGGATAACAGAAGCACATAGTTCTGGTTTCGTTAGGCTTAAGCCAGCATTATATTTGGTCATAGCATTGGAGGTAGTGTTGAAGCCTGCCTCTACCCCGATGGCAAAACCTTGAGTGCCAATCGTACCAGTAAGATCAACCGTTGGAGATCCATTAAGGCCAACAATTGAGCTGAAACCAGCGTGATCATGGAAGTATTGCACCTCTAGCTTCAAAACCCCAAAAAACAGGAATTACACTTCTGTTTATAGCCTGACACTTTGGCAACTTGTGCAAACATGCTTGCTTATATTCAAAATTGATATCAGTAAAAGATGACGTGCTTTAGTACCTTTCCAGAGTTGTGATCAGGCAGCTTAAAAGACACAATGGCCTTTGTGGATGGCAGGATTTCAGAGATGGTAAATGTTGTCAAGATCTGCAGAAAAGATGTCAGACAATGGAACAATGAAGAACTAAAGTTTTTTACTTTTTTTCTCTCGCCCTTTTGTTTAATTTGGTTTATCTGTTGAAAGAAAAAGAAAAATGAGTCCAAAAGACAAGTAGGAAAAATTCCCTTACGGAGGTGAAAAACCTCAACTAAGTAAAATCCTCCTCAGTGACCCCCATATTTTCTTGGCCATGAAATGTTTTTTTTCCTAAAAGCATGACATACTACGAATACTCATGATCGAAGCTTTAGAATTTACAATCTTACATTGGATTCTGTGTCGACTTTGAGGTCAACAATGGTGCTTTTGTGTTTGTACTGAACAGCAATGTCACCACATGATATTCCCCCCTTCTTCACCGCCGTTGAAGTGATGCCCTGTAAATACAATCCACAATCAGCAATCATCATATCTGAAGAGAACACAATAAGGACATTCAAATTGAAGAGAGATATGGCAGAATGCAGCAGCTACTTTACCGAATCATCACTAATATGTATGTAAATGCAGCAAAAGAAAGAAGAGGGACACATGCATTTCATTTTTTTAAAAAAAGTCAGCCCACACAAATCCAAAGTGAGCTGAATGATATAAGGGCCTGAGAATTATGCAGACCAGTATGACAAAGAACAAAACAAGTCTCAAGCTTTTCAGCATTCATCATCTCTCAGATGCAAAGCAAAACTGGACACATTCAGTAACTCCAGCAGATTCAATAAGTTGGTACCAGATAAAAAAAAACCCATGAATTAAAAACCACATCAAGTAAGCACATGAGTCATCATATACAATAGCAAAATTTTGTAGCCGCACTAAGAAAAATACTTCTGATTGTTTTTATCTATTCTACACTAAATATGACATGCAATCTCATGTCTAATAAAGTATTTCCTTTCATTTGGGCATATACATAAAAAAATACATATGCAATTCATATAGGAGTTCCCATGCACATATAAACATGTATGTGTTCATGTGTGTGACTGCCTGCCAAGCAATCCCAATCATACCATATGAAAAATATTCATTTGCACATGTAAAAGGCTCCTGGTCGGACAAACTCAACTACTCAAACCCATTTATTAGCCTAAGGCCTGCTTAGTGCTGCTAATCCATGGCCAATTAAATGCAAATCATCATCATCATCATCATCATCCCAAACTTATCCCAATTATTTGGGGTCAGCTGCGTGACTCTCGTTCCTCCATTCTTTTCTATCAAGGGTCATACCCTCAGTAAGACCAAAAGTCGCCATATCTTTTCTCACTACTTCTATTTATGTCCTTTTGGTCACTCCCCTTGCCCTTTAAGAGCTTTCCACTTGATCCAAATCATACCTCCTAACTGGTGCACTATTAGGTCTACGCTACATATGGCCTGCCCACCTAAGTTTACTTTTCCTCATCTTATCGCTTATTGAAGCCACACCTAAGTTCCCTAGTATGCATTCATTTTGGATTCTAACGTTACTTGTCTTGCCACTCATCCATCTCAACATCCTCATCTCAGTTATGCTCATCCTATAGATATGTTGTTTCTTGACCATCCAACATTCTGTCGCATAAAACATGGCTGGTCTTACAGCCATCCTATAGAACTTCCTTTTCAGCCTCAATGATATACAACAATCCCATAAAACTCCGGATGCACATCTCCAGTTCGCCCACCCAGCTCTAATAATCCAAACCTTAAAGTAATAGAAGTTGAGGAAATAACTTACACTCATTTGCAGTAGTCAAAAACTTCACTTAGCACATTACTTCAGTAAAACAAAAATTCAATGCCAATGACTTATTTGAAGCATATTAATTTAGTAAATCTAAAACTCAATCTCAATAACCTGATCAAAGCACTTATGCAATAATAAATCAAACAATGAAACAATAATAAAGACATTCGCGTACTTTCAACGTGACCTAAATTTGCCGCCCCATCCCCCTAACACAACCAGTGAATCATTTTTTTCCATTTATCGTTCAACAAAACAAGCTAGTGTACAAGGGATATCATTGGAATGGACATCTAAGGAACATTTGATTGGCCAAAATTCCAACCATCAATTAAATGATGGCCCAAGGGATTCCCATGCCCCAATTTTATGATGGGTGTTGATGGCCTAAACTGTTAAGAACTAGTGAAATCACATGTCAAACATTTCTTTTACAGTCTCCATTAAAGCGAAATAAATAAAAAGTAATCACAAGTTTGGGCAGCCTAATTGCATGGTTGTTTTCTATTTCAATTAAGTTGCCCCATCTTGTCAATGGCTTATAATACAGCTCAGCATTCAACGGATCAAAGTTACTAAAAATCATGTGTACTACACTTAGATCTCACAATTTCCAATATCGAGTATCGAACTTAAGATCCAATCCTATGCGTGTAAGATATAAAGTTGTTCCATATACTAGTTAATAAATAAATAAAAAAGGAGTCTTTAGATACAATATCGACTTGGTAAGACATATATAATAGGTAGTACATCACCTGACCGACCTAAACCATTATAAACTAATGAAATCACATGCCCATTCCTTCTTTTACAATCTCTAGCCTCTACCTTAGAGAGAATAATAAAGAGTAACAAGTTTGTATAGCCTAATTTCACTTTTTTTTTCTATTTCAATTGAGTTTCTCCATCTTTCTTTTTATCATTAACAAGAAATATCATTTCTAAAATAGAAGTACAATATCAAAATTGAAAACAAAGGTCAAGAGATGTCAAAACATATTAGGTTTCCAACTTTGAAATTGAATCAATATACAGTGATTCTCGATGAACTCCTTCATTGCAAGGGCATCGACCTCTTGGTTAACTTCCTTAGAAATGTAGACACAAATCACATTCCAAGGGTTACAAATATCAAAGATTGCACCAAAAATCATAGTCAACATCCACGAATAGAAATTCTTTATCGGTTCATCTCATGATGTTGAGACAATCCCTTTCTACTACTAACCGCCTTCTTAAGTGGAAGGGAGAGATTTGCAGGCCTATAAGAAATGCACAAGTCTCTGCTAATGTGGAGTCACATGCCCAATGAACCCGATAGCTGTTGAGCTTCCTAACTTCTTCATTTCTTAAAATCCCACTCATATATGTTGGTTCTGGATTATCCCATGAACATCCATCAAAATTTAGCTTTATAGAACCGTCCATTAGAGCAACCTAAACTACCCTGAGTTGAACAATGGCAGACCTGATAAGTAGGGGTGGCAATGGACCCGTACCCAACCCGAGACCCAACAGGTAGACCCGACCCAGGTCTGGGTATGGGTCCAAATTTTAGATCCCCCAAGGGTCCGGTTCAAATCTTGGACCCGAACACTATTCGGGTCCGGGTCCGGGTCCATGTAGACCCGACCCGAATAATTATGATATTTAAATAATATTCAATATATGATATTTACATAATATTTAAATAAATATAACTATACATTTATCGTTATAATATTTAAATAATGCATATATTATATAGCATATTTATGAAAAATATTTAAATATATAGATATTTCTATATATAGATATTTATATTTTTGAGTTTGGTCCGGGTCCAATGACTCTGGACCTGTCAGGTCCAGGTCAAGATCCAAAACCCACAATATATTTTTGGGTCTAGGTCTGGGTCTGTCTGAACCCAACATGTTGCCACCCCTACCAATAAGGCAAGTCCTCTTTTTTTTGAACGCACAATAAGGTCAAAGTCTTCCAATCCTCAACCAAGTCAATGACATTGAAACCTCAGCATTTTGATCAAAACAATGCCCTTGGTATCACCATCTTCCTAATCATCTCCCTAAGGACCAATTTGTGCATCTTTTGATCCCATTCTGCTGTTTCCATTCTGCTGTTTTCAAATGCACCAAGTGATGTCCATAATGCTCAAGCTCCAAAGCACCTTACCCCTATGCACCTCACCTTGACGTCTTCCATAGAAACTGTGGTCATCCATTGCATTACAAAGAGATTAAGAGCATACACCCATATGGTCATAGCATAGCTAAAATGAATAAAGTGGCTTACCATTTGAACCTCAACTAGACATAAAATGCACATAATAGGCATTTGCCTACCCCGCCTTTGAAGGCGGTCAACTGTCAATATAATCCTGTAGCACGCCAACCGTCCAAAAGCTAAAACAAGGGGTAAACATGTTCCAAACAACCCGTAAACGAGATAAGTGGCCAACAGAGCTTCTAGTCAAGAGTTTACAAACATGTCCATCAGAATATTTAAGGGGTCAAACTTCTAAGAAACCATATTTACTATTAGATCCCACAAATTTCAGTATCAAGTATCAAGCTTAAGTTTCAACGCCACGTATGCAATCAACAGAGGCAGACCATAATCTAAATTTAATGAATAAACCACATAAAGGCATCAATCACATGAAATTCACAAATAGAATGCCTGAACTCATGATTCAAAGCTATCGCCATTTGATCCTTACATTTCCTTATTCTCGCATCAGAAAAACTAAGACTAGGGGTATTCTGAAACTTAAGACATCCAAAATAAAATTCCAACTACAGATCAATGCCGCATACCACAAATATCCTAGGAAATCCATGAATCAAAAGTATTTTTAAAGAAAGTATGACTAATGGAAACAAACTAATGGAAACACAAAAATAGATATATGCAAAAATACAAAACTAAACCAGTTTCAAATAATGCAACCCACAACCCACAGCCACAGGTAAAGCAATATGTGATCTGATTTTCCTGTAACCATCATAATCATCATCAAACATATCAACATAGTCCCGAGGTGAGCAAAACACATATAATAAACAGCATACAATAATTCAACAACACAAAACCCTAAAATATCACGAATAACAATCTCGCATCAATCTCCTTCCATTGCAACCAAAATGTAAGCACTCTTTTGAACTAAAAATAAGATCTAAATCCTTACCACTCCAACCTCACTGAAGGTAGAGAGGGTGAACTTCTGATCATAGCTGTAATCCTTCGTGAGAAGATCTGCAATGAACACGAAATAGGGGAAAATTACCAAGATGAAACCCAAACTCCATCAAAAAAAACAGGATCATTTTGATCTCAACCTACAAAAAACAGGATCATTTTGATCTCAACCTACAAAACTACCAACATATCCAGTGAAAAGAAATACCTCTGGCCTTCTTCCCAATATCAGAGAAGAGCCCAGGTCCTCTAATCATCCTTCTAGCGTATTGAAAAACTAGGGTTCGTAGTTGCAGAAAAATGGGGAGCTTCACAAACCCCAGCTACACAGAAAATGGGAGAAAAAAAAAAATTACCATGACTTATATATACACGTGGAAAATGTATCGTCCAGAGTGCAATATGAGTAAATTATACACTTGACGTGTATTGAATGCTGGCTTGTAGAAGGCTATTAGGGACGTTTTGTGAGAAATGAACGGTGATGCTGCTAGATAAATGAAAAATGAAAAAGATAAAAACAAAAACTTATGAAGCTGCTAATTCCCTTAAGTGCAGCTAATTAAGATTAACAAGTTTTCACCGAACTGTTAATCATATGTAATGAATTAAACATGTCATTAGTTCACTAATGACTTATATAATAGGATATTATCTAAGCATTCCCACAATTTACAAAGAATCCAAACACAGTACTGGGTTTTCCCTCCAGTGACACTGGTTTTTCTTTCAAAAAATATATCTTATTAAAGCTCAAAAATTGATCCATGTATATGGCATTGCTTCATGTTAACTACATGGAATTTCACATATACCTCAATATAGCTTTTGTACCATTATTGAAAAAGTGAATTTTCGAGAGAATAAGGGTTTGATAAGCTATATTTCCAATAACTCCCACTTGCCCTGAAAGCCCTTTAACATCTTGTACATGGCATTGCCTCATGCTTACTACGTGAGATTTTCATATACCCAACCAGTGTAGTCATATACCACTTTTAGATTTTCTGACCTCAACAGCCTTATATATGGTATTGCATCATGCTACTTGCATGGGATTTCACATATCCCTAGTAATGTGGTCATACACCACACTCAGATTTCTTGACCTCAACAACTTTATAGATGGCATTGACTCATACTTCCATATGGGATTTCACATATACCCTGCCAATGTAGTCAAACACCACACTTGGATTTCTTGATCTCAATGGTTTTATATACGGCATTGCCTCATACTACCTGCATGGGATTTCTCATATACTTTACCAGAGTGATCATACACCACACTTAGATTTCCTAGCGTCAATAACATTGTATATGATATTGCATCATCCTACTTATATGGGATTTCACATATACCCTGCTAATGTGGTCAAACACCGTACTTGGATTTCTTGGGCTTAATGGTTTTGTATATGGTATTGCCTCATGATACCTGCATGGCATTTCTCATATACGTTACCAATGTAGTCATACACTATACTTAAATATCTTGGTCTCAATAACTTTATATATGGTATTGCCTCATGCTACTTGCATGAGATTTCACATATACCATGTCAATGTGGTCAAACACTACACTTGGATTTCTTAGCCTCAATGGTTTTGCATATGGCATTCTCGCATGCTAATTGCATGGGATTTCTCGTATACCTTACCAAGTGGTCATACACTACACTTAGATTTTCTGACCTCAATAACTTTGTATATAACATTGCCTCATGTTACTTGCATGGATTTCACATATACGCTGCCAATGTGGCAAACGCCAACACTTGGATTTCTTGACCTCAATAGTTTTTTGTAAATGGCATTGCCTCATACTATCTGCATGAGATTTCTCATATACTTTACCAATGTGGTCATACACCAACACGTTAAATTTTATTTACATATATCTTTTAGCCAAGAAAAAAAGGCATATTGCTTTCGCTTGTTTCTTAAACATGTCGTTCACATTGGTTTTTAAGCCCAAAACTCATATTCGGATCATAGGTCAAAATAATAAAAACAATAATAATTTGACAAAGCTGTTGGTATTATTATGTACATAAAGAAATATTTAAGTGGTCTCAACCGTAACAATAATAAAAAAAAGGAATATAATATCATTTCTTTTTGACATGATCAATAAGTTTCAAATCGATGATGTTATCAAACTATTCAATAACGGCTCCAACTATTCTTAATATGTGGCTGTCATCATAATAACAAAAATTAGTCCAATATTGTCTAGCATGCTAGATCAGTAATTGCTCTCACTTTCTTAACGTGCTTTGATAATTATAGAGCTAAAAAATTCAATTCTAATTTGGTAAATGATGATTTACTCCCACTATCTAATGAACAGCTATCACTAATATGATAATTCAATCTAACATGATACGTCGTTAAATAATTACATCTCATTGAAAATAATAGCTCAGCATCACATCCTCATGGGTACAAATTTAGTTTTCTAAAAAAACAAAAGAATACTAAGAAAAAAAAATACCGAAAAGTAAGTCACAACTTGGTTAAAAATAATATACAACATTATTCTTAATGCTTGTAGAAAGAAAGGGGAATAAAAATCTTAGTACAAATATACACATATTGTTGAACTTGAAATATTCATAATCATTTATCACCGTGAAAATTTTCAAATCAAGTATCTCTTTAAATAAAATTGATCAATGTATAATTGCTCGATGGTCATATTGGAAATAAATAGAAATATCTCCAACCTTTTTCTATAATTTATTTATTTATTTATTTAAATAATGAAGACTGAAAGACTGAGACTTGCATATCCCTGGGTAGAGAGAAAGAGAGAAATTTAAATTTCATAATAGGACTGCACATTGATTTGCATTTATTTATACTATTAAGATAAAATCGAATGTCAACAAATTTTTAATTTAAGGCAATAAAGGACTTACCACAAAAGCTTTGTAATTGAAGCCTACCAAATTCTAATTTAAGCAATAAAGAACTTACCATAAAAGCTTTGTAATTGAAACCTATGAAATTCTAATTTAAGGCAATTAAGAACTTACAACAAAAGTTTTGTAATTGAAACCTACCAAATTTTAATTTAAGGCAATAAAGAACTTATCATAAAAGTTTTGTAATTGAAACTTACCAAATTCTAATTTAATTGAAACCTATGTTCATACCCAAAACTCAAAAATAAAAAGAAGAAGAAAAACCCATTTGTTGTTTTGTAGTTTCTCTCTTTAAAGTTTCGGACTGAAGAACCATGCCGTTTATAGAGGATTGTGCCCTAAGGCAATGGTATAATGCTATATATTGCCATAACATACACCTAAATGAGACAAGTTTTGTCCCAAATATTTCATAAAAAGAATTGTATCTTAACCACAATTGGCCAAGATGCATTGTGCAATGAAGCGTTAAAACTTTTACCTTACCTCTTTCTCTACAGTAGAGAGCCACATCAAGTGGCTTCAGGGACATGTTGACGGCCCCAACAACCCTTTGGTGTGCGGTCTTGGCCCTCACTAAAGCCTCAGGCTATTCCTTCAAGGCAAAAGATACCATCGCACATTCCTTCCAGACAAGAGATACCATCGCATATACCTAGCTGGAAATACCCTCTAACCTCACAACCTCGCTCTGATATCATTGTTAGTCCTAATAATGAAAATTAATAAATAATTAAATAAAATCGATAAATAACTTGCTCGGATTTGTTCTTAAATCACAAGAGAGACTTAAGGTTCCATACCAAAACCTATAGATCAAGTCATTCGGTGACAATCTACCTTAAGAGTCCTCTTGGTGAAGTTCCTTCACCTTTCATCTCTATTTTTCTATCATTTTTCTCTTCTTCCTTTTTTTTTAGAGGGGTTAACCTCCTTTTATAGAAAACACATTTATTTTGTAACTCTTACATTCATAGTCTGCATGAGTTGAGATCCAAGTGTAACTATTGCCTTAATTCCCTTAAGTACAGCTAATTAGGATTAACAAGTTGTCACCAAACTGTTAATCTTATGTAATGAGCTAAACATGTCATTAGTCCACTAATAACTCATATAATATGATGTCATTCAAGCAATCCCATAATTTACAAGGAATCCAAACACATTATTGGGTTTTCCCTACAGTGATACTGTGTTTTTCTCTCCAGAGATACATCCTATTAAAGCTCAAAAATAGATCCATGTATATGTATTGCCTCACCTTACCCACATGGGATTTCACATATACTTCAATATGGCTTTTATACCATTATTGAAAAAATGAATTTTTAGGAGAAAAATGGCCTGATAAGCCACATTTCCAACAATATCTAAACCATCGTTCAACCCAAAATCCCATGAAAAACTCATTTTAGGAGATCTTAGATAAAAAATGGTAGGTTTATAAGTGAAATGGGAGAATAATGTGTTAATATCAAACTGCATAAAACATGATATGATATAGCAATTTCCAATCATTAAAATTGCAAGAAAATCTATGTTAACCCAAGTCAGTTGCTTATCGTGCTGGGACTTGCAGTGTGTCATACCTATATACAATGCAAAGTATAATACGAACAACTATCAAACTCTAATTGGCGTAGACAATTGCCTCCCACATTTTTAGGTCATTTTTTAATTTAAAAAAGGAAGGAGAGCCACACATCCTCAAGAAACCCTAATTCTCTTTTCGAACCTAACCCTAACCTTAACTAAGAGCTTTAGAAACCTTAGTTTCCAGCAGCCATGGCTATGCATTTCAAATAAGAAAAGCTTCCCTTCTTCACACCACCAAAGACATTCAAACTTTTAAGATCCTAGACCCTTTCGAGTCGCTTCATTCAAAGATCAAAGTCAACCATTAATTTCATCAAAATGAATTAAAAATCAACCTAAGTTATGATCAAGGCCTCTACTCCGGGTGCTGGGCCCTGAGGGCTCAACTGGCCCGTAAGTTCTATTGCTTTACTCTATTTTTATCCTTTAATTTTATTTTATTATTTTATTAGATTTTATTTTATTTTCTTAATTTCCTGGAATTTTATCTTTTATCTTATGATTTTGATGTGATTTGCAAGCCGACACTACCAATGATCCGAAGAGGTTTCAATATCTGATGTGAGATCAAATCACCTTTGGATCGGAATTCGACCAAAACCTATCTACCTAAGCTCAAATAAATTGTGAAGAGTGGATTTTGTCACCTCGCATCGGTCGGTCCAAAATCTAGTTGTACACAACCTAGAACCCACTTAAGGACATGACCATCTGGTAGGATCATGTCACTTTACATATTAGATATGTGGACCACTACTCGCACTTTAGTGTAACTACCAAATATGATAATGAACTACTTGTCAAGAACTACTCGATGCTTGGAAATAGATCATATGTAAATACCGCAAAGGGAAGACACAAATAGAGAAGTACGAGAATAAGGGAGAGCAGATGGCAAAGAAGCAAAGGACATATTTTATATTTATGGAGAATCCATTTGTAATCGATTAAATAAAAGATTTTCACTCTTCTATTGTGCGAGTTATTGAATATAATTAACAAGGTGTCCACTGATACTTTGAAACTTATTGAACGAGAAATAAATAAAGCTCTATTCAAGGATATCTCTTGTCAGAGTGTTGTTTGAAGTTGTCTTGAGTTATTTTATGCGCTAGTTCTCGCATTCGATTTAAGATTACCCCAAACAACCAAATACAACGAAGAATTGCAAGAAGCAAAGAATAACAACAAACATGCTAAGATACACTATACACCTAAAAGCTGCAAGTGAATGAACCTCGAATTAAGCATAAAAATGTCACAAACTGAATATGATGTTATGTTACAAAGTCAAGGTACCAAATTTTCATTTGCCTTGAGGGTGATGCCGATTGTCTAAAGATATGCTCAAACACAAATTAATTACAATTGTTATAATTGAATTTCTTTTTCTTGACAATCATAGTTATTACTGATTTGGAAGGGAAGACATGTGTGCATCATATTATTGATTTTGAAAAGGTATCCCTTAAAACATCAAGCAATTCTAATCTCTACAGGCTCCATGAAAAGAAGAGCGAACTCACATGATTATATCTTTATTAGACATTCTAATAAACTGAAATATGTTTTTTTTCCTTTGGAAACATAATTTTCATGCTAGGGTTCAAAGTTATGTTCTTATCCTTTGAGTGTATAATAAAAAATATAGCTTTCTCTATTAGTCGTTCACAATTTCAAATGCTTCAGTAGATGCATTCCACTACCCCTAACATAAAAGCAAATCCTTCGGCAACATTAACAAACTACTTAACTTATTTAATTATCATAATTTGATTCAATAAAGTGCATTTTCTTGTAGCTCCTTATTCAATCTACCATCAAAGAGCATAAAGCTCAATGTCCTCCATAAAACTTCTACCTATTGTTATTCTCAAATCAAGTTCCCTTATTACTTATCTAACCAAAGTATTTCCTTTAGCTGTAACCTCTTAGTTTTATCTTTATCAATCTTAAACAAAATCGTAAGTCTATAAATCTCCAATAAAAAAATTTGACTTTGTCATACTTTAGAACCCAACCACCAAACCAAGGGATCAAACTTCATATGCACAAAGACTTTTATTTAATAAAATAACTAGAAAGTAATGATTTCTCTTATATCGTGTCTGACATTAGTAAAATAATATTGGGGAAAGAAAAATAATTAGCAACTAGATCTTAGATGCCATTGGAAAGTTCATGTGGGCAAAATTACTAAACAACTATAGCATATACAAAATTGTATAGCATGCAAAAGCATAAAATCACAAGTGAAACATAAAAAATCACGTGGCATGCATAGACACAAACTTACAAGTGAAAAAAACTTAAAACTACCTGTAGTTACCCAGTACAGTTCATCCAAGAGTAGTAGAATCAAATCTTAATATACCCAATGAACGCACTAGACAAATGAATTCTAATATCAAAATGAGAAGTTGGTGTGCCAAAAATTTTCTATGCTAGTTAAACCACCGAATCGGACGAGTTCTCAAATCTAGTAAATGTGGATAAATTGTATGAAAATAATCTTTTGTCAAATAATGAATTTGAATATTAGAGTTATTACCAATATTTTACGACAAAAAGATAAAATCAAGAAGCATTTTATTTGTGACAGAAATCCTTTAATATGTGATGTAATTCTTATAATTCAAATTCAAAATTAACAGTTCCACTAACAAAATACTTTGGAGAGGAAAAATCTAGAAACTTTTGTGGCTTTGAAGCATTATTTTTATTTTCAATTCCCCCCAAAACTTTGCTTTTTCTCTTTCTTGTAGACCACTTTTTAGCATATTTTTGGACAAATATAGCTTTATTAAATGAAATGGATGAATTAATTCAAAATTTTAGGGTCCACATATCAAAACATTTTGCCTTTCTCTCTTAACCCTCTCTCCCCCCCCCCCCCATACTCTGTTCCCCCTCTCTCTTTCCCTTCTATTTATCTCTCTAAACTGTCCCACTAACCTCCTCTGAAAAGGTCTCCCTCATAGAACTCCTTCTTTGATGTAAGGGAGCCACAATTTTTTCCTAACATGAGTCTGAAAGGTATTACCCTTGGTTAAAAAAGGAATCCATATCTTAAATGCATTTCTCTTACTGATAAATGCTCATGATATTACTAACCTCATGATAAAGGCTTACAATTGCTTATTAGAAAGCTAACTTTTCCCCTTTTTTTAAATCAGAAGGCAGATTAATTATGATTATTTTGGGGGACATATCAATAGTTTTCCCTTAGGGACTTTGGTTCATCATATACCATCATATCCCCATACTTTGGCCATGTTTTAATGGATTCATGGTCATTTACTTTCATAAACTTATGGATGATTGATTAAAGCTTAAAAAATTGTGTAGAGCGAGTATATCTATGAACACTTAAAAATCTTGAAAATCAACCGTCCAAAAAATGCATTACAAGATGCACAAGACTTGAATGGAGATGATCAATTTGAGGACTATTTGGCATCTAAACAATCTCTTTTGGTGAATTTTTGAGGAGAGCCTTATTTTGATTGTTTAGGGCCTCACCCTTATATAAACTTTTCCTTTGTTTAATAAGTTTTGGATGGAGATTGGCACACTGCAACCGTAATCTCTCACATCCGACGGTTGGAAAGTGTTTCAGGAGAGCCTTAATTTGATTGTTTCACGCCCTAACAAACGTTTTCTTTATTGGATGGAGACTGGCACACTGCAACCGTTATCTCTCACATCCGACGGTTGGCGAGTGTATGACATTGTGTAAACGAAAGGTGCGTTTTCGGTACGTTCCCAGAACGAAAGCCATTCCCTCATTCATACGGTTTGAAGATTGGAACCCTAAAATCGAGGTTTGAGTTTTGTGCACCAAACCGGAGACCAGGCCTCTCTCACTCTTTCTTATTTCTCTCAAAACTCTCATAAGTGTCTCTTTCTCTGAAGCTCCTTAGCGGTCTGTCTCTAGGATTTGGGGGCAATGTCTAGATGGGAGAGTCGCGATTCACAGTCCAAGCGCCTGCATTCCAGGGTAGAGAGGCACTCCAGGTATTTCATCCCACCCTAATTTTGTTACTAATCGTATTCAAACTCTCTCTGTCTCTCTCTCTCTCTCTCTATCTCTCTCTCGTTGTGAAAACCACTTTGGTCTTTGAATTCCAAGGGTGCTCTCTCTCTATCTCTCTTTATCATGAAAACCATGTTGGTCTTTGATATTTGAAAATGTCTCTCTCTCTGGCCATGTTTTGTAGACTAATTTGAAGTTCCATTAACTGTAATTTCTCTCTGTCTCTCTAATCTGAAGTTCTATTAACTGTAATTTCTCTCTCTCACGTTAGTTTGCTACTGGATATCTGCATGTATTTCTTGTCTCTTTATGAAATTCGTCCGCGATCTCCTGGTAATCATATTTTAATTTAGTTTGAGGAGAATACTTGACAAGATTATGCTTAATATTTTATTTTTAATGTCAACTGATTTTCATTAATTTCAAGTCCATGAGGTTTAAATATATTCCCATCTACTGAAATGAGTATATTTACACGAGACTATATAGCTGTACCGCCGCTATCAAACACGCAGCTTGATAAATGTACCCATTTCTCACCGACTAATGATATTGTCAATAAAGGCTTTCAGAACCTTTCCCTTGCCAGCTCATTCTCATTTTTTGCTTCTCTTGGAGAACACTTTATGAAAATTGTTTGGTGAGTCTGCCTATTGCAAATCACGTTTGTGATGTTGTTTACTCTCCAAGGGCAGGAATTCTCTTTTTCAGCCGAGGTTATCACAGTGCTCGGGTCATCTTCTACAGCTATGGGGGTGCAGTTTAGGTTGAAATTCCTTAGACCAAAGAGCTGGGCCCAAGGCCTCTGCTTCATTACAGTCGCATATATGTAATGGGGCAGAATATGTCAAGAGGGTTCTTCTGCAGTAACCCCTCACAATAACTCTTTCACCTGCTTGCCCATATTCCCCTACCCATAGAACTATTGTCAAAATTAACTTCACTATCCCTTTGAGTTGCATTGTGCACCTTTCTTCTTCTGCATTTTGCTGTTTGTACTTTGTATTGACAATGTTCTTCTAGAGGTTTCCAGTCTGCAATCAAAAAATTAAAAAATTTCTTTCCTAGCTGGAGACCATGAGTTAGGTTGGCCTGATATTGTCCTTCATCCATTAACTCCTTTGGTTTAATCTCAAGAGCACATTTATACCCCTTATTACTCCTACTATGGATATTCTCCATGGTATTATGTCCAATTTTGGCAATGATGGATTGAAATATAGTTCAAAGAACACTTCAATTGAAGGAGGCACTATGCATACAAAACCTAAAAGATCTAAAATAAAGCCCCATATGTTCTGTGCCATGGGCCATGAGACACTGTAAAAACAAATGGTTTCACTGTTTCTTCATCCTGTTTTACACTAAGCAGATGTTGGGGATGGACATGTCTCTACTTTTTACGTGGTCGAAACTTTGGATTTTGTCAAGTACACTTAGCCATGCTAAAGCCTCCTCATTTTGTGGGTTTGGAATGGTCCATGCCCTTCCTAACACCATAATCGGCATCAGTTGTCCATGTTATGGTGCTGCACATTCACTTAGTCATTGATATCCTTGACTCTCTAGGGTCCATATTAGACAATATTTCCTACTTGGTCTTATAACTACTTGCTATAGCTCTGCCATTAGGTTCCTGTATACTCCGATCTCTTCATCCTTGAAATCCTTTCTCAAACATGGAGTACACGTGGTGTTGGCCTCAGAGCTTTCCGCTACTTCTGCCACTGTTACTTTGGGTTTTCTGCCACAGCATACACCTCTGGTTGTTCCATAAGGGACTGCTCCCCAAGCCACAAGTCCCTCCAGAATCTTGTGGTTGTTCCATTTCTGACTTGGCAACCTGCATTCTTATGTTTTTTTTGAATCTAACCTGCATTCTTATGTTGCTTATGGAATTAGATTGGCAATTGCTTATTTTGTTCCAAATACCTGATAAGCATCCTATACGTAGATTTGCCTTAAGCAGCGACTGTCATAATTCTTCCCCATATTTATTGGCTATTGCTTCCTACAAAGGGGGCCTGTGCCTTGCAAACCTCCACCACATCTCTTTCAGCAAATTCTAGTTTTCTCAATGATTTTCTTAAAGCCAAGGCCCATTATGCATTTCAATTTACATGCTCTATTCCATTTGACTGAGTGAGAGCATTGTTTCTTTGTCACTCCTTCCCAAAGGAATCCGTGCATTAGCTTTTCTAATTTGTTTTTAGCAGTTGCTGCTAATGGGACAGAAAATGAGGACATATAATGAACAGACAATTAGACATAGTAGATTAAGAGTTATCCTTCACCCTAGGGATATGAATCTCCTCTTACAAGAGGCCAGTGTGGTGCGAATTCTCTCCATGACCCCTTCTTACATGTTATTTAACGATATACCAACATAAAAAGGCAACCGAAGATTTCCATCCCATACCCAACCCTCTTTGTTTGTGGCATGAGGTCTTCTTCAAAAATCGAGACACCCTATAGCTTGGTCTCCCCCATGTTCATCCTTATTCTTGATGCTATCTTAGATCACCTTGGAAACAATTTCTGCTATCGTTGTATCACAAAATATGTGGGTAAGTTCGTGTATTGTAGCCATAATGCTGAACTTCGATGGGTGCTCCTTGGAGAACCTCGGCCGCACAGGAGCAGGTGGTGTCTTTAGAGATCACCAACGTAATATCCTCTTCACCTACTCCGAATATCTTGGCCTTCAAGATTCCCAGTATGCCGAATCAATGGCCCTTCTCAAGGGCCTGCAAAGCTTTATTTGATCTTGGGGGCAACACCTAATAGTGGAGGGGGATGCTTTAAACATCATTAATTGGGCAATCGGGAGGTCTACACCCCCTTGGCATCTGGCATCGATTTAAGATGAGATTGTTCACACTTGCAGGGATATTGCCATCTCTTGGATGCATACCTCGAGGATGTCAAATGAGTTCGCCGACCTCTTGGCGAAGGACGGGGCTAGGGCCCATGACGAAGACTAGAACCGGTCCCTTGCTGCTCTGGACCGTTGAGGATAAACTTACAAGAACAACTTATTCTGTACGGGCAACTTTGTTAGCCCATTTTTGTAAACTCTCTGTAAACTTTGTAAGGGGTCACTTTTTGTGTACTCACTGTAAACTTTGTAAGGGGACTATCTTATAACCCCATTTTTTGTACAGGGTCTGTTGACCTATTCTTTTTTACCAAGAGTCCCATCTAGGGGGTACTCTCGGATTAACCAAAACTTGTACTCCATCTCTTATAGCAATACAAAAGTTAACATTTATAAAAAAAAAAACGTCCGTGTATTGTAGGTGGGAGATGGTTGGAACTTTTGGTGTGACCTTGAACCTTGTCAACATTCCAAAGTCATGAGGGGTAAAGGCTTCCCTTTCCTTGAGCCTCTGGAAGATGGAAAGAACCCTTCGGGTGCCCGTTGATGAGAAATGAAAAATGAATAGACGAGAGAAAGCCGTAGATCCAACTCCTTCATTTATCTCCAATGCCCATCCACCTCATTTCCACATGAAAGAATTCCTGGTCGATTGTATCATAATCCTTCTCTAGGTCTAACTTGCAAATGACCCTGGGGAGCTTATCCTCATGCCTATAATGGATATATTCTTGAGCCACCATGACACCATGCATGATTTTTCCTTCCTTTACAGGGGCTGGTTGAGGTAAGGATATCACTTGTGAGAGCACCTCCCTTAGTCTAGTTAATAAGACTTCCAAGTAATCTGATTGATCATAGATCCCTCATATTCTCCACTCCTTCCTTCTTTTGCATTACTGTTATAAACGAAGCACTCATTGCTTTGATCACTCCTCTTTGGTAAAACTTTATGAACATGTCAGAGAATTCATCTTTCATCAATTTCTATAGCTGGTGGGAGAAATCTGTTGAGAATCTTTATCTTAAACTGAATGGCATCCTTATTTCTTCATCAAGCTTTCTCCAACCACTTTCAAGCTTACATCGTTCAACTTCAACTTAAGGAGAGGTACTCATTCATGATTATATTCAGCATAGTAAAAGAATTCTGAAAATACTGTACCATTAACCCTCTTCAGTCTCCTTTATACTTTTAGACCTCTTCTTTATACTTTCAGACCTTTCATGAGATTGTGACTCCTTGAGGAGAATTTGTGCTTCTGCTGTTTTCTATGGCATGTAAAAGCTTGCTGTTATGGTCTCTTTCCTGTAACCACTTCATCCATGACCTTTGATGCCATATCTCTCTCCCAGCCACAAATCGCGTCTTAGAGAGGACTTGGCTTCTAGCCTCTTTTTCTCCTGGGGAGACAATTCGCTTGGATCTTCTATCATGTCCAAGCTCTCCACACTCTCAAAGAAGCCTGAGATCTTTATCAGGATGTTATCAAAACAGCTCCTATTCCACTACTTCAGCTGCTTTTCAACCAGTTGCAATTTTTTGCAGAGCTCTGTCCTTCCCATCCCTCTACTTTCATGGCCATCCATCATTGCTCGACCATATAAGGCAGGCTATTGTTGTCTAACCACATTGCCGCAGTCCCCCTATCACCATATTTATGTCGAGTATGATTGGCAAGTTGCTGGACATGACTTCTGGAAATTTTGCTTTGCAGTCCTCTGAGACTATGAAATCGTACAAGTTTGTTTGGACGTAGTTTGTTTCGCTGTGGTTAAACATGTGTATTAGCCCTGTGCAATGTTGTTTCAAGCAACTCAGGGCCACTGATGGAATTTTCGAAACCTTCCATGCTAGCAGATTTTCTACTATGCCTGCGCTTTTGATGAGTCCATTTGGAGACATTGAAATCTCCTTCTATACACCAAGTTACTATGCCTGCTCTTTTGATGAGTCCATTTGGAGACATTGAAATCTCCTTCTGTACACCAAGGCATCCTATACTCTTCAGCTACCCTATTAAGCTTTTCCAATGCTCCTCTTTGGGCTTTAGATGGCACATAGAATCCAAGGGAAACCAGACATAGGGCCTTTATTTTACC